TATTACTGTTAAATTCTCTATTTTCCCTTTCGTTTTGCCTTCATGAATTTTGGGGCCTTGCTGTCATGTATATGAATTTTTGTAACTGTTCAGTCTTCCTGATGGATTGACCATTTTATCACTATAAAATGTCCTTTGTCTTTAGCAATAATTTTGTCTTAAAGTCTACTGTGCTATTAGTATAATACTCCAGTTCTCTTTTGGCTAATGTTTACACGGTACATCTTTTCACATTATTTTACTTTCAATCTTTTTGCACCTTTGAATATAAAAGATGTCCCTTGTAGATAGTTTATAGTTGGATCATGTTTTTTAATGAATTCTTCCAATTCTGCCTTTAAATTGAGTGCTTAGTCTATTTGCCGTTAATCTGGTTACCTATAAGGTAAAATTTATGTTTGGCATTTTGCTATTTGTTTTCTGTACATCTTATTTTTTGTCACTCTATTATTCTCCTACTGCCTCCTTTCATGTTAAATAGATATTTTGTAATATTCCACTTAATTCCCTTGCAAAAAGCGTGAATCAGAAAAACTTGATAAGTTAGACATCATTAAAATTAAAATGCCTACTTTTTTCAAGATATGGTTAAGAAAATGAAAAGGCAAACCACAAACTAGGAGAAAATATTTGCAAAGCATATATCTCAAAAGGACTTATATCTTGAACATATTATTGATTCATGATGAGGAAACAAGTGACTCAATTATAACAGCTGGGTAAAGATTTGAACAGTAACTTTACCAAAGCACATATGTGGATACCAAATAAATACCTGAAAAGATGCTCGGCATCTTTAGTCATTGTCAAAATGCAAATTAAAACCAGGCATTAGCATTTACTATTGAATGGTAAAAATCAGGAAGACTGGCAATACCATGTGCTGTAAGAACATAATTAACTGGTACTCTTGTACAATTGCTGATGGGAGTGCAGAACAGTACTCAGGCTTTAGAAAACATAACCAGAAAGTCTCTAATATAAAAACTATTCCTGGGTATTTAAGACCATTGAAAATCTATATTCATCTTGAAAACTGAGAGGAGGTTTGAAGTGTTCTCACCGCAAAAAAAAGATAATTATGTGAAGTAATGCATATGTTAATTAGCTCCATGGAGCCGTTTCACTACATATGTGTGTATACTTTTAAAACATCATGTTGTACATGATAAGTATATACAGTTTGTATTTGTTAATTTAATATTTCAGATCTACATTCATATTAAGGCTTGAACACAAATGTTCATAGGAGCTTTATTCTTAATAACGAAACACTGAAAGCGGCCCAGCTGTTCATCAGCGGGTGAGTGAATAAACAGATTGTGACATATCCAACAGGGGGGTATTACTCAGCCTTGCAGGAGCAGAGCCCAAAAACATCAGGCTAAATGAAAGAAACCAGACACAAACCAAAAGCTCTGTGATTGCACTTGAGTGAAATTCTAGAAATGGCAAAACTTTAGAGTCAAAAAAAAAAAAAAAAAAAAACCAGACTGCTGACAGTCAGGTGTGGGAAGGGACTGACAGCAAAGGGCCATGGGGGAGCTGGGGGAGTGATAGAAATCGCTTATACACTGATTGTTCAGGTGGTTGTAGGACTGTGTTTGTATGTCAAACCTCACTGAACCATACACTTAAAATTGGTGGATTTTGTTACATGTAAAATATGCCTCAAAAAGGAACATAGACACAATTAGCAGTAGCAACAAAAATATAAGGAATAAACTTAATGAAATGCAAAAGGAAATGCATTTCCTTGAATGAGGAAAATTATAAGACTATTGAAGGGGCTGGGGATTTAGCTCAGCGGCAAAGC